CTATACAACACCAGTGGCTTTCGGGCACTTTTCTCAGGTAGGTATCCATAATTCTGAATTGTTTCGTTATTTCCGCTATTTCCATTTAAGTGGATCAAGTTTCCGTCCATAATTTCAATGGTTAACTGCCTAGTATTATGTTGATTTAGATGCGTTTTCTCGGGTATAGCGTCTTTCACTTGATTCTCATCCTTGAGTTAGAGAAAAATCATCCTAAATGTTATCATCGCTGCATTCATAACTACGAACCAATCATATTTTAGAGTCATGCATATTAAGTGATCAATTTAATTAATCTTGGATGACTGCTTAAGTAAGACTTAACTTCTCTGGAGACTACTGCCTATTCGGAAACACGAATTTGTATACCTCACTTTTATGTCTATGCTGCAAGACGTCTTTATTTACGGAAAGCAATTTCAGAGTCTTTTATTTTTCAGGCTTCACACCGCGTCTTTTCAAGACCACGCACGCCTCAGCTTTGATGATCACTTCATTTGAGGCACTTAAGCACCATTTCGCGATTAAGGACTAACGAAGCGCCACACCTGCGATGAACGCAAGCTTCCTAACGCCCTCATTTTCTTGTATGGACGTGTAGCACTAGCAGGCTGTGTATTCTTACTCCGGATACTGTACAGATTCATCATTTGTAAATTCCTAATTGCTTTCCTAATTTGGCCTCGTCTTTCTTTCGGATTTACAAGCTTTTAACTGTGACGATGTCAGATCTCCTTTGCACCGGTTCCCAAATAAGATAAATAGTTTTAATGGTAGGCACGTTATTTGTACAGAAAAATGATTAAAAAATAGCCCTTTGATTATTTTTGTCCCTGGAATTTCTTCCTATCCTTCGTCGCTTAGCTCAATGGCCATTTCGGGATTTTCTGTCCTAGCACATTGGGCAGGCTTTGAGCAGATCTCGATCTCATTTGGCATGGGTTTTAATGATCTCTTTCTTCCTGTATTTATTATCTTGCCTTGGTGCCAGTAAGACATCATGAGATCTGTGGCTACCTTCTTGTCTGAAACAATGTAGCAGATGGTCGAATAGGGCGTGAAGTGAAATTCTATTGCAAGTTGTTGCCGGATGAGTGCCCAGCAAATAAACTGCTCCAAGAAGTGGGTGTATTCGTCCCGCATCATACTATACCCTATCTGCTGCTCAAGATCGGTTTGGACAGACTTGCTTGTTCGCAGTTTATCCACAATTTTCTGTCCGGTTAGCCTTCGCTTGTTAGTCGCCTCCTCGGCAAGGATTTGGTAGACTTTTTCTAGAAGACTGGATACATTGATTTGTAAAAGCTGGCCATCTGATATGAAGGTAAAAGTAATGCACGATGCTCAGTCGTAAAGATGCTTCCATGTTATATGATTGCTAGTAAAAAAATAATATTCCAGCTTGATAACCTATAGTCAAATGTTTGAGGGTGCAAGTGAAGGAATGAATCAAAAATGAGCCCAAATGTATACCCTTATTATTCCCGATAAAGTAATCCTCTACGTCAGGTACTGCAAGAAATAATGCGAATTTAGGCACTAGGCCAATGCTATTGCTTATTTTAGACAAATTAATGTTTTATTGGCATGCTGCGGGCAATCCAAGTAATTGGTTATTGCATTATTGAACTACTATTTTGCTTTCGATTTATAGGTATATCGGACATTAGACTATTGTTGTCGGGTCTTAGGATAAGCTGGTTTCTTGGGATAGCCGCGCTCGGAGTTTGTATGGCCACTTCAAATTCTTTGGCAGATTACTTAATATCTAAGCATTAAAATGACCAAATTTTGATGCTGTTTATCCATTCCGTTACATTATAAGTCGATTTCTGATAATGAAATTGTATACTATATTCAGCGGCACTAAAATTTAGTCCCATTATTTTTCAGCCTCCATTTAGACTCAACAATTTGAAATGCTTCGCTGAATGTTCCAGACTATTCGCTATTCGACAATTACAGTATATTCTTGCATACGTCCCAGGTATCGTGGACTCAATTAGACAAGAGTCTCGTCAAAAGTAGATCTAACGCAAAGCCCATTACCAATACTATCTGTTTTTGGTCGGCATCGCAAACTTTCATTCCTCGATAAAACTATTTCATTCAGCTATTTTTGCGAGACCTACATTCATGAGAAAAATTGTATTGAATGATTTCGTTATGTTATTATCAAGGTTAAAGGGTGGGATGTCTCTCACTCTACCGGTATAAACCATCTATTTTGTCCCTTAAAAGCCTAGCAAACTATTCACAAGACTAATTTTGGCCGTCTGATATCTGTCAGATCGGCTAGCGTTGGATGCACATTTTTCTCTTATATTGGTGAAATTTGCAAATCCCCATATAGCAATGTATTGCTCGATATTCTTTAAAGTTCCAAAAAACATCTTTCGTTTGGAATCCTTTCGCAGTATGCGAATTTAAAAAACCCAAAAGTTGGTTTTCATGTCCTTTATTTTAGCACCTGTACATTGTCACTTCAGTAGGTCATTTTCTACTTCTAGTGGCAGGATAATTTTACTATCTATTTGCTAATCAAGCCTGTAAAATTTGTCATGGTTCTATTAAATCTTAGGAAAAAGTGGCATTGTGAGGCCTTCTACTCATTTCGTTGTAGGAAATTAACTTAACAGTCATACATCTTAAGCAACCTGAGGTTACTCACTCTTGTTCAAGCTCCACCAAACTAATCATCTAGGAATATCATTAAAATAAAAAAGCAATCAGGAAGTCTTCTAAAGGTATACGAAACATGAAAGATGGAAAGGGATAACAAAGAATGATCGTTACTTATCCGATTCTACCTCTAATAGATGACACCGAAACCGTAAGATCCAGTTGAAATTTTAAAGATACTGAAAAGAGTATAAACTTGTAACAAATTTAAAATAATAAGCTGTTTTAACAATAGAGAATAGATTCAAGATCTGAGCTTTCTTCTACTTACTACAATAAGATGCCCTTATAGGATCAACTGGTGATGACGAGAGAAAATCGAGGGAGATTTGACGATAGATGCCGTCGGTGAAAGTTCTAACGCTTAAAAACAGCGGTAGCCACTATCTGTCATTTTTTAATTATTAAATGGCTGAGTCATTTATCGGAGAAATAATTCGCTACGCCGCGCCAAAAGCAATCTGCGGCACATCCCCCTGGCAATACAGTAGACTGGTGAAACATTGTCGCATTGGCAACTTGAAAGAATACGATGGGATGATAGGTCACTGAGAAAAGAATTGGTGCCTCTCCCGGCTTACCTAAGCCAATGGTACAGTAAACGGCAGGGAATGCCAGTTAGGCTATATAAAAACGACCTGACTAAAATTTAATGTCTAAGAAGCTTGCAACGATCAGAAAAAGTACAGTATGACTGGTTTCTTATTTTTTTATGTAAAAATTGTCCACTTCACAAATGCTGAAATTATATGCCGCACTCGGGCTCGATTCTCGTTAGGGGCTGTGATGAGACAAAGGTAGAGAGCCCTGGACGAAAATACCATTTAAGAAGCAAGGCTAAGTTAAATCCAATAGAAACATGAGGCTATAATTATCCTTATAAAAAAATCAACTATCAATCCTTCACCTGCTGCGAGCTAGGTCGATTAGAACTACTATCATATATTAACAACGTTGAATGGGAAAGCAATCCGACATCATCCAGCCAACGGGCACCAAGGTATCGATACCTACCAGAAAGTTTTGGGATTTGACAATCATATGGGAAAATAGCCATAATGTACTCGAATAGGATATATTTATTGGCGCGGAATGAAGTTGAGTGGATTTGTGAGTAAAGTAATAAAACAAGCGGATAAACTTACTCTCGAGGCCGCGACTTCGCAGGCAGGAGTCGCACGGTTGCTCATCACAATCTTTTTCCGTCCAGCTAGCGTCACCAAGGCTAGCGGCTATCAACTTGCGACGACAGTTAACAGTGGCCAAACAGAACGATGCAATTTCTAGCAGTTTAGTCAGCCCAGTAGCTTCGGCGAAGACCAGGCTAGCTAGACGGAAGAGGTCAGCAAATCGCCATTGTATTATACAGACTGCCGGTAGGCCATCGCGACCTGCCCGACCTGATTCTTGGTAATAGTGCTCCAGACTCCGACTGGCTGCAAAGTGCCATACGAATCGAACGTCCGGCTTGTCAATACCCATTCCGAAGGCGACCGTAGCTACAATCACCTGTACATGCGTGAACATAATAAAGTTCATAAGAAAATAAACACGCCTATTGATAAGAGAACAAAATATACAAAGATATGGTGGTATGAAGACCAAGATGGTGTGGCCTTTTGTGTGGTCGCAGTCTCCTTTCGTTGTAAAGATG